AAAACAAGAAAAAAAAACAATGAAAGTCTTAAAAAATTTGCTTATATCATCTCTATATATATATTGTGTGTAATAACAAAAAACTAGACATAGACTTTATACTATATTCATTAACACTAAAACTTTATTCACACTACTACATATCACCTTAGCACTTTAACAACAGTCATACAGTTTGAAAAGAAAACATCACATGAAACAATGTATATTTATTCTAAAAAATTCACCCCTATAAACAAAGTTTCACAAAAGTAAAGCTATATATATGTGAGGGTGTGTAGCAAAATGTTAAAAGCAGTTTACTGCTATCTAATATGAAGAAACAAGCAAAGTCAAACTGTAGGTGAACCAAATTAGACAAAAATAGTAACTTGAATGTATTGATTGCACCCATGAAAAAAATGACTCAATGTCTACACATTTCACCTGTGTATACATATGCACCCTGTGTGTTCACTTCTGATGTCTACATGTGGCCTGTGTCCAAAAATGTGACAAGACTTTTCATGTGGCCTGTGTCTACATGTGGCCTGTGTCTACACATGCGACCTATGTCTACATGTGACCCGTGTCCACACAATGATGTGACCTGTGCTATGTCTTAACATAACTGACATTAAACTTAAGGAATTGATGTATCCTTCTAAGATCTGATGTTATCATTCAAATTTTATACATTTCATGTTTTGTTAGATAGGCAAAACAGTCAATATAGGCACTAAGCTTCCTTCAGAAATATATATATGCAAGCTATATGACTTAACCTAAATATGTAAAGGAGCAATTTCATGTCTGATCTTCTAAAAATTGCCCATTTGTTACAGCAGTCTCAATCTTTTATGTCTGGAACAAATAAATGTACCAGAATAATTCAACGACAGTTATACACTAACAGTATTCAAAAAGTCTAAGAATGCACTCAGAAAAGCTTAAAATTTCAATTTTTATGCTAAATGTCTAGGCATAAGATAAAAAATAGAAATTATCTACTTAAATTTCCTTCATTTGATGGGCTTATTTCCTCATTAAATCTCAATATTAACAAATTAAAGATCCTGTCATTCTAGATCAATACTATTTATCATTTTAATTATATAGGAAAACATGAGATTTTATCTGTTTATTTCTGGATGAGTTTCAAGTAACATTTTCACTGTTCAGGTCATATAGACCTTCTAGCTTTTGTGGTAAAGAACGACCCTAAGTGCCGCTTTACATTACTTCAATTATAGATCAGTAAAAACAACATTATTCCGTAAGCTAACAGGACACACAGGCAAAAATAAATCAAGAGTCTTAAGCAGTATTTTAAGTAAATGCAAATATTTTTCAGCATTTTTTACCTCTATCACATAAACTAATCTTTTTTACCTCTTTCACATAAACTAATCTACAACTTATCAAATAATGTTTGTAAAAAGGGGCTATGCCACAGCATTGTAAACTGTATAATCTTTCAGGAACTATTAGAATAAATATACTTGTTTCAAAGCCTGCAACTAGTAATTGGATTAACAGAAATAACAGTATTTTCAATAAACTTTTGAGAAAATAATAATAAAAATATTACTATAGAAAAATCATTAAATGTATGCGCAAAAATAACATAATCCATTCATTCATTCTTATCATATTCACCAACAATGCTGAAAACTTCATCCCAACCTACTGGAAGTGAGTGATACAACCTTTGCCACAAGTATTCGAGTCAGGCAGGTGGCATCTCCATGGAGTCTGACCAACCTCGAGACTGTTGGTAGCTCCATTTTATGAATTTTGATACTAAAATCCCTTAAAGTGTAAATGGACTGTTCCAAATTCAAAGCAGGGCAAACCCATTACAAAACTTTAGCAGGTTAAGGGTTACTTTTCTTTTCAATTAATCATGCATTTCTCATCTGTAGTCCCTTCTTCCTGACAAGCAAACTGAAGGTTCCAGAAGATAAGTTTATGCCCCACCCAAGTTCAGATAAAACTATAAGTTGGCTTTTAAAGCTCTTCAGAAAATATGTTGTATTGCTACTTTACAAAATATATCTTTCTTGAGTTGACCTATCTGACCATTAAACTTAAAACTGATTCAATAAATTAGATATCCTTTGAAATTGTATAAGTTTCATAAAAATCTAGATCTACCAGAGTATTGTAAAACAGCATTATGAATTAATTACAAAGAGTTTTAAAGAAAACAATAGCACTTTAAACAAGAGGGCCATGATGGCCCTAGATCGCTCACCTGACTTATCAAACTCATCCAAACAATTACCTAGACAAGCATTCTGACCAAGTCTCATGACAGGTGAGTCAAAAATGTGACCACTACAGTGTTAACAAGGATTATCCATATTTGAGCAGTGCAACCTATTTTTTTTACCCCAGATGAACACATATTCAAAATTGACCTAGAAATCATCAAAACAAACTTTCAGACCAATTTCCAGGATATTTGGATCAAAACAGTAGCAACTAGAGTGTTAACAAGATTTTTCTATTTTTAGCTCCGGTGACCTAGTTTCACATGCGATTTCGAACTCATCCAAGCAATTACCTAGACAAGCATCCTGACCAAGTTTGATGATAATTGAGTGTTAACAAGGTTTTTCCATATTTGGGCGGTGTGACCTAGTTTTTTATCCAAGATGACCCATGTTCGATCTTGACTTAGAAATCATCAAAACAAACTTTCAGACCAATTAACAGAATATTTGGATCACAACAGTAGCCACTAGAGTGTTAACAAGATTTTTCTATTTTTAGCTCCTGCATGTGACCTAGTTTTTCATCCGAGATGTCCCATGTTCGATTTATTCCTAGCAATGACCTAGGCAAGTTTCCTGACCAAGTTTGATGACAATTGAGTCAAAATTGTGACCACTAGAGTGTTCACAAGGTTTTTCTATTTTTAGCTCCTGTGACCTAGTTTTTCATCCGAGATGACCCATGTTCGAACTCATCCGAGCTATCACCTAGACAAGCATCTTGATCAAGTTTGATGATGATTGATGCAAAGATGTGACCGCTAGAGTTTTAACAAGGTTTTTATATTATTAGCTCCGGTGACCTACTTTTTCATCCGAGATGACCCATGTTCAAACTCATCCGAGCTATCACCTAGACAAACATCTTGACCAAGTTTGATGATGACTGATGCAAACATGTGACCGCTAGAGCGTTAACAAGGTTTTTCTATTTTTAGCTCCGGTTACCTACTTTTTCATCCGAGATGACCCATGTTCGAACTCATCCGAGCTATCACCTAGACAAGCATCTTGACCAAGTTTGATGATAATGGATGCAAAATTGTGACGGCTAGAGTGTTAACAAGGTTTTTTCTATTTTTAGCTCCGGTAACATACTTTTTCATCCGAGATGACCCATGTTCAAACTCATCCAAGCTATCAACTAGATAAGCATCCTGACCAAGTTTGATGATGATTGATGCAAAAATGTGACCGCTAGAGTGTTAACAAGGTTTTTCTATTTATAGCTCCGGTGACCTAGTTTTTCTCCGAGATGACCCATATTCGAACTCATCCGAGCTATTATCTAAACAAGCATCCTGACAAAGTTTGATGATGATTGGGTCAAAAATGTGACCACTAGAGTGTTCACAAGGTTTTCTTTTTTAGCTCCTGTGACCTAGTTTTTCATCAGAGATGACCCATGTTCGAACTCATCCAAGCAATTGACTAGACAAGCATTCTGACCAAGTTTGATGATGATTGGTTAAAAAATGTGACCACTAGAGTGTTCACAAGGTTTTTCTATTTATAGCTCCTGTGACCTACTTTTTCATCCGAGATGACCCATGTTCGAACTCATCCGAGCTATCACCTAGACAAGCATCTTGACCAAGTTTGATGATGATTGGGTCAAAAATGTGACCTCTAGAGTGTTCACAAGGTTTTTCTATTTTTAGCTCTTGTGACCTAGTTTTTCATCCGAGATGAGCCATGTTCGAACTCATCCGAGCTTTCAACTAGATAAGCATCCTGACCAAGTTTGATGATGCTTGTTTCAAAAATGTGACCGCTAGAGTGTTCACAAGCAATTGTGGACGTACGACGGACGGACGGACGACGGACATTCACCGATCCTAAAAGCTCACCCTAAGCAAGCTCAGGTGAGCTAAAAAAAAGTGATTTCTTCACTCTATTGGAGTAAAGTGAGTTTCTTAAGATGAATAATAATCTGGCTAAAAATTGATGTAATTTCAATGAAATAGCAAGCTTTTGAAATTATATAAGCTCAGTTAAGCAAAACTTCTTTTACATATATGCAAATCATACTAAAAATACAATTTCATGAACTTTTATTAACTTGAATATTTAACCATTTATCTGCTGGAAGTGAAAGTGTTTAGCTTTTGCCACCAGTATAGAACCAGACCAACTTGCACTACCATGCAGTCAGACCAAGCTCTATACAGTTGTAAGCTCGCTTTTTGTATTTTGAAATTCAAAAACCTCAAACTTTGAATGGACTGTTTCAAATTCAAAGCAAGGCTTATCCTGTACAGCAATTTCAGCAGATTAAGAATTAAACCTGTCTAATTTAAAGAGACAACTCATGCGTTAGTTTCAAAATTACTAAATGTCCTCTTTAAATACAATTAAAGCTTATTATTTGTGAACAAAAATTCAACCCATCTTCCCAGCTAGAATGTTGCAGGAACCTAATGCAAGCCAGGGCCAAAAAACCCTTCTTTGTAGAGGCCGAATATAGGCTGCTTCCCCAACCAAACTAGCCTCTTTTTTCCCCCATTTTTGTCCTCAAAATTCCCCAGTATTTTGAAATTTCCCATAGAATTTAGAACAAAATTAAATGATGGTGTTGAATTAAGGTCTTTTACTGCCTTATTAGTATTTCCCAGTGCTTTTTGCTTTTCTATTTTGAAAAACTTGTTAAAAGTTTGAGTTAAATTTGATACCCCTTTTCCCAAAGTATGCCAAAGTCATGTATATTTTCCCCAAGAAAAAGGCTGAGGCCCCTTCCCCAAAAATGGTGTTTTGGCCCTGCAAGCATAAAATGACAGTTTTTTTTCCAGACTATGGACATATACACATACAAAACCATGTAGGACATACAATGTAGACAATGATATCATGGATTTTTTTTTAACAATATGAATATTGAAATCGTAATACATAAAGCACCCATTCCTCACAGGTAAACATTACAACATTTTTAAAAAAAAAAGCTTTGTCATAGACCAAACACTGGTTTGAATATACACAAAGAATTCTCTTTGTATACATCAAAACCAAACCCTGTTTCACTATATTTTGTTTTGGGTGGCATATTTTCTCTTAAAATTAATGACACTTGTATATATATCTGATGAAAATGAATTAAAACAGATCTTTTTGCATTCAGATTTCTGAAATAACTCTTGAATGAAAGGTTCAACATATAAAATGTTCATATACTCATTTTCAAGGAGAAAAGATAAAAACATTTTATCTGTACATCCAGAATTATTTCTCTTTTTTTTAGCATACATATAGCAGCTATATCCTGGTTTTGATTGTATGTCATAGTTTGATCTGAATGTTTAACTTATGTGAATAGAAAGAATCATGATACAGATGATATTGCATTATGGGGTGAGCCCATCTGAGTGAGAACTTTATCTAACCACTGTAACGGACCATTCAGATGTATCTCTATCCAACATGGTGTGCTGGTTACATCCTGGCGATGATATTCTGCTCCCCAGCCTTTAACGAAACTCATACGAATAGTGCACATCTTTGTAAGTTCGTACACAGCCTCAAATCCATGATTCACGCTTTGACTGAGAAGTGCCGCGAATTCCTGATTATTAAAGATCTTCAGACTGCAGCCTGGTGGAATCTTACACACTGTGGTGGGATGAAAACCATGGTGATAATTACAGTTCCTGCTCTGTACAAATATAGAGCTGTCACTGAGACATTCGGCAAACACTTCACCACCAACATAATATAGATGAACACCTACAATATAAATAATAATTATTATAATATAGCAACACTTTTAGAGTAAAAATGTGTTGAGATTTATTTTTCACAAAAGTCAACTCTAATTAATTTGCATACTATTTAAATAGCCTCTTATCTTTTGTTCGGTTCCATAAGTAAGGAGTCTTACTGTTTGGAATGTCACTCATTCACTCGTAAAACGTAATCATATTATGTCGCTTGTTTTCCACTTTATATAACATTGAAATATTCCTTTATATTACAAATATGTAATATAACATGTTGAGCAATCATTTTCGCCTATACATTTCATACAAAACAAGATTTAAAATATCAGTGTTTAGAATAAGTTTATTCTCATCAATTTCAATGTAGTGTTTAGTTATAAAATAACTAAAAAGCCTTATATTTGTTATCATGTAATATAAAATTTGTTTAAACTTGTCAAAGAAAATGTTATAAAAGTTTTTAAAATTTTAATAGATAATTTCATACCTTTGCTTATATGTCTTCTTGTGTTTTCTATAGTAGAGTTTCTGTTTACATTGGACAATAGACCAAGACAGAACCTGTCTGCATTATTGGAGGGGTCTGTGAAACCATCAACAACTATACTCGTTTGTGAGGCATGGAAAGCCTCTCCTACCCTGTTGTTTAATTCGTAGTATACAATAGAACACCAGTATTGTGGCTCTTGATAGGTCACTGGTTGCATATCTATGAAAAACAGTTAGATTTTAAAGATTACATAGTTTATACATTTAAAAACTGTTAGTAATAATAATGACATTGTGTTTGATCTTAATTTCTCTGAAAATTAACATAATGCAATGCCTATGCCTCCCTAATCATAAAACCTTTTTGTACTGCCTTTTCCTTGATTAAAGAATAATTTGTATTGCCTATGCCTTCATTATAGAACAAGGCCAAGCAGTTTGAATATGCCTTTATAATATTGGCTATTTAATTTCGGACCTACAATTGCATATTACATGTATATGTTGTGTGGTTGAAACTGACATGATAATGAAAACTACAACATTTTAATCATAGTACATAGTGCTTGGAAACATGTGAGTGGTGTGGGTCCTGAAGAAAAATCAATTTCATTTGAATATGCATTCCCTTCACTCTATCGTAACTGCCACTTGTTGCACAAAAACAACCCCGCATAAACAAACTAACAGAAAGTTGAAATTAAAACAAGATTTGTTTGAATCCATCTGCTACTGGTGCTGCTTTGACAGCAGGAAATGTCAAATCTCATCATTTATTCTAAAACCACATATTGACAAATATTAGCATTTTTTTCCCATTTCTGAGTAATGTGAAGTTAATTTACATTTGAAATAAGGCAGTCTCAAGAGATGTTCCCTTTTAGTTTTATTGGTAAATGTATCGTAATGCTTTTAACATTTACAGCTAAGATAAAACATTCAAGCATTCATCGCTACAACGATCATGGATTATTGTCTACCAATTTCATTGTAATGCAATTCGCCTTTCATTTATCACTCCGAAAATTGAGAAACATCAAATTTGCATAGGAGAATAATTCTGTCATGAAATCTTTCAATTTGTATTAACTAAATGCACTTTATTGAAGTGGAAAGCATTCAAGCTAATTTGATAACTGTTAAGGCAAACATTTAAATATGTTTGTAACATACAAACACCACATATGGTGAAAAAGGAAAAACTTAAAAGAGTAGTAAATCTACAATAAAAGTCTTGAATAAAAATGAAATCTGAAAATTTCAGCAAGATTCGTGCAGACTAGGACCGAATGTATGCAAATATAAACTTTTCTAGGAATTATGATGGCATAGGTACACTAGTAAAACATGAGACCGCAAATATAGGAGCTTTAATTCCTGCTTGAGGCCAGAAATGACGAGTCATTATACATTTAACAAACTTGTTGGATAAATGCTATGAACAATAACTCTATTGCTAACTTTTTTTTTTAAACTGAGATGCTCTGTTGAAAGAAAGCTTATAAAAAAAAAAGGATAAAATATTCCAAGTGTTCCCTGAGTTTCTGTTTTAATTTTGTTCAATATGCCTCTTTTCCAGAGGTTGCTGCCATTCTGACTAGCACACAAGCATCGATAATTACAGAAAACTGTAAGAAATGCCCCAAATTGTTTCTGTAGCTTAAGTGAATGAACTTACGAGCTGGATATTTATCACTCATTGGTATATTGACTGTAGGTGGGGGAACTGGTGGAGGGGGCATGCTTGTATCCATGGGCTGTTGACCCCGGCTCTGGCTGCTTGGTGGGCTGTTGTCATCGTGAACTTGGTAAGCCGGAGGCGGTGTATCTGCTGCAAAATCAAACAAAAACACATTATTTTAAATATTCAATTAACTTTCTATCAACTGAAATAAACAAAACCATTCAATGCTCATTTAAATATGCTTTTACCAAAGGATTAAATTTCTTTATCCTGAATTATGTGGTAAGTTGTTCAAAAGTCTCATCAACATATGTAAGAGGATTCATTTAAAACAGGGATCTCTCATCAATAATTCATATAACTTTTTGTTCAGGCGATACACATAATACAAACATGTCTTTTCATATTATTCTTTTCAATCATACTTAAAGCGGATGTCATGAAAAGGCCCATTGGGATTTCAAGAACAAAATCATGTTTTTTTACATTATTCCATTTCGATCATTTTTTTGAACTGGGCAATAATGCACTCAATATTGCATTATATTTTGACTCATTCTGGTCTCTTTATTGAGAGAGACATCCCCTCTTCTTTGCTTTGGTTGGATTTTTATCTCGACATTGTACAGATCATATGGTGATAAACTCAGGGTGGTGATTTTTCAGGATTAACTCTTTATCCTTCTTTATGCTAGTTCAACAGCCGCCTGATATGACAGAATGCGAAGACCCAACCCCTGGATTTTGACCAACAGCAGTGAGTAGCAAGTAGTTCTAAACCAGCAAATTTAACCGTCTGGCAACAGAGGAACTGTTTCTACTCACCCTTTCTATTTCAAGGGTATTTTTACTAGCACTTCAGACCAACTTTTTAGACCATCATATTCCCTAATTAGAAAATCCAAACATGCTAATTAAATACTAAAAGTAGGGCTGTCATTGAATATCGCAATATCGATACATCATCAATATTCAACAAATCGATACAATATTGATTCACAATTTAGAATATCTAAACAATTTAAAAACCATTTCTTCATGTTTACTGAAACATCTCTGTATTTCTGTGTAAAGGGAAAAAGCCAATTTTCTTCCCTAGTCTGAACACAGGATTAAATTTTCATAGGTCTGTAAAATACAAACCAGAAAAGGGTTCTTTCTTTCAGTACGTTGTGTTTGTAAGGAAAATTTATTACACATATTTGAATAGTTTCCACTGTACAGCTTACAGGCTATTGAAATTGATATATTGTTGATATTTAGCTTGATATATCGATACAAAATTTTCAATCAATGATAAACGTAACTAAAAGATTAAATATGAACTATTAACATTTGTAAATGTAAAACATCTGATGTTTTTAAAAATGACTTATCAAAGTCAATTTAAATTTGATATTTTTCTATATATTCATCATAAAAGACACTTCTGAGTAACATTTAATTCATGCAAAGTTACTTTCAACAGTCATTTACCTACATTGTAAATAGTAATCTGGGATATAATTAACTTACCCGGTACACCTCCATATGGGCTGCCAGGTCCAGAACTGGCTGGGGATGTTGGGCCAGTATGGAAGTTGTTTGGGTATGTGACATTGTGTGGCATTGATGGTTCTGGTACTGCTTGAAATGGGGGCATCGATGGGTTGTGACCTGCTGGAAACTCGCTGTATCGTGGGACTAGAACTGGGGGCAGTACTGAAATAATACAAAGTATTTTACTTATTTTTTGTTCAAGTAACATACACAAATATAAAAAAGCTGTGTTGATATTGCATTTATTTTCATTAGATAAACTATATTTATGGCTGCTGCAAATTCTAGAATTACTTTCATTTAAATCAAAGAAAGAAATGTTATTTATTTGTTAGAAATACTTTTGACAGGGCATATGTCTTGTATTCATAACAGTTGTCTGCTATATAACCTTTGCATAATGGCTTAGGCTATACATTCTTAAAACTGTTAAACCTGGCCATATAACCTAATTAGAAAATCTTTATATTTAAAAGCATACAAAATCCTGCTACTACATTATCTGCAGCAGAAACAGTATATTTCTAGTGAAAGCTAAGTGCTTTAAGTTGTTATTCACTTCATGAAAGAATAAACCACATTAATGAAATTATTTATAAGTATTGATAGGTCTTGTACAATAATGAAAAAATATTGAAAAATGGGATATATTCTATTTAATTTATTATAGCATTTCAAACATCATACTCAAATATGTAAGTAAAGAATATCTTACCTGGACTTTCAACTCTTTTGTAGTGGTACGGATTTATACACACTTCTTTGTGTTTTGCATTAAATGGAAACTCGCAACAATCAAGGGCTTTAAGCTCATGGTGACTTTGTAAATCTGGCCAACGCCACACACGACAGTAGATTACATGAGGCAAACCTTTCCTATGAGATACCTGCAACCTACCATCCAGAGACCTAGGAATTGTTACACATTTGCTTTGCTGTCCCGGACAGCTTAAAGCTTTCTCGAGATCTTCTAAAGCCCCTTTCTTCTTTTTAAGTTTTTTCACAAGTGAGTCAACAGCCTTCTCTGCCCATTTTTCCTCCTCGTCACCCTGTTTCCATCCTAGAAGACGTTTAACAGCAGGACTTGTGAAGGAGAACAGGCTGTTTAAACTTGATATAGTGGAGGACATCCCTCTATCTGAAAAAATATATAACAACATTTTAGTAAATCGAGTTCTGGTAATATGTGGCAGGGCTGAAAATTAGCGGTCGCCCAGTCGCCCATGGCGACTAAATTTGTAATTGGGCCACCAAAAATTTCAAAATAGTCGTCCAGTCGGCGACTACAAAAAAATGGGCCGTAGATTAAATTATCCGCATAATAAACGAAAATTAAACGGCGCGCAACGGATTTTATCCCTATCAATAACGTCACAATATCGATGGCATAGTGCTATAAGGGGATAAGTGAAAAATGACAGTTTTGAGATAATCAAGAAAAACTGTCTGCTGCTTTTGTTTGTAATCATTTTTAAAAATGATTTTGCATGCTTGTAAACGAGTAATATTAGAAGCATTATAATCATTTTTACCTATTGTGTGGTCGTTGGTTAGTTCAAAAATCATTTAATAATTACTTAACACCTTATAACATTTGCTGAAATGACAAGTTGCATTTCGGTAAAAGGCGTTATCTGCCACTTCACTCCTTTTAGAATAAAAAATGTAACCATATCATAAGTCAACATACAGTGACAACTGCCACTTACCACCTGACTTTCTATTACTTTTGAAATCAAATGATCAAAGAATTTTATAAGTCTCAGTGTTTAACAATATTTCGGTTGTTTTCTAACATACATGTATATGCCGACATGCAACTTTCAACTTCTCCACTTAAAATTATTGAAAAAGTGATTGAGTCCAAAATGATAACAAACTAGTTCAAAGGTATTTTCTAAATCCTATTTTGGCATAGCTGAAGGAAAAATAATGCACAATGACGCCAAGTTTTAAAATCAAATTTATTTCATTTCAAAACCTTTAACATAAATTTGTGACATGTGCTTATATTAGCATCATGTATTAACATTAAAACAAGTAATTCATTACCTTCATGAACAAGAACAATTAAAACGAAACAGGATAACAAATTGTAATCAATTAATTGTCCACAATCTCAAGTTTGAAACACAATTCATGTTATAGTTCATATTCATAATAATGTTATTCATGATGTATTAAAAACAACTTAGAAGTGTATTTATATAAGTGTTTATGCTGATAAATGAAAGTATTTCATTATGTTTGCATGATTTCGTAGTTCATACTGTGTTCATTATTACAATGCCAAATGGACCGTTTCCTTACAATTAAATCATTTTGAAAAAAAAAATCAAATTTTTATACTGAGTTATAGTTCAACATTCATCTGATTCATGGTCTTCTCTGTGGGGTAGACTACCATAAAATGAATGGTATCTTGGCGGTATTATTTGCCTTTGGCACAAACTCAACAAATCGTCATATTTTTTTTTCGATATACATATCTGACTATCATATGCATTCTTTAATGCATAGCCCTCAATTGTTCTCATTTTTCATCTCAAATTAGGCCGTGCAATTTCAATGAATTTGAATTCAGTATTAACTTCATACTTGTAGTAAATTCTGTTTGGCTCAGATTTACGGTATTCAAATAGGTGTACCTTTGTCCACTGAAGTGTTGAACCATCTGCTGCCTTGCTTCTATTAGCCACAGTATGATCTGCCAAATCCTTAAAATCTTTTATATCAGATGTAGCCACTTCAATTACTTTATATCTTGGCTCACTGGCTTTGCTATTCGACACAGCTGACATCCAATCCGTAGGACCAAACATATCATGCTTTTTCGTAGCTTTTTCGATAGTGGCATGTACAGAGTCTCCCTCCATTTGCGAATGTCCACGTTCAAAAAAATTGTGAGTGATTGTGTTAATAGGCATATTCTGTACACAAAATAAACACATACTGGAGAAAGGAAGATTTCTGTTCTGTCCAGAACAGCTGTCGGAGTAGTATATCAAATGATCAACAGCTCCAAGACTTTCATTGAATTTGTATATACATGAAGAGATATCATTGCTTCCTCGCTTAGCAACTGATTCATACCACATGTAACATGATGCATGCTTTGAGACTATGTCAAATACAGTAAAATTATATGTAGCTAACTTCCGGCTGTAGTAAACTTCACCTATTTCTGTTTTGGGTGAAATCAAAACTTTTTGAAGATCAAAATTTATTTTTTACACGTGTATTTGTATCTTCCAAGGCCTTTTCTTTGTCATTCTGTTTCTGTTGTCGAATTTGCTCTTTTCTTTGTTGATGTTCAAGGTATTCACTCTCTCTTTCTTTCTTTTTGGCATCATCATGACTTTTATACACTTCACAAAAGGTGCATAAGTCTTTTTTGGGGTGATGAAAACCAAGATTGAATTCCTTATTGAATATAGAGTTATACAGCCAGAGCTTCTCAGGAATTGTGTTGCTTTTCTCACACTCTTCCACATACATTCTATACATTTTATTTACTGACAAGCCCTTTTCAAGATATTGCCTCTCGGTATCCCTTCGGCAGTAATGTGAATCTACTCTCTGAAATTTGTCTATGTGTTTCCGTATTCCATCTCTGGCTGCTTTGGAAACTTCAATCTTTTTATGCCGACCCCTTCTATCTGTAGTGTCATATATCTTGTCTCTATTCATCGTGTACTCGATCACCTTTGGTCCAACATCTAAAATATTCACGAAGCTACTTTTACAAATTTGAATCAAATCATCACTATCATCATTGAGCGGAAGAAAATATTCATAAGTTAATTTCCTTCTAGATTCATCATTAGTTGTTGTTCGCCGTTTTTTACTTATAACTTTTATATGATGTGATATAAAGTTTCGTTGAGTCTCATATGACAAGTTCCAGTAATGGTTGAATATTTCCTCCCTTCTTTCTTTTTTTATTTTACTTGTGCATCTGTATTTGCATTTACAACTGATTGCCTTTGATGCCTTCATCGGAACTGTAACCCCTTTCTCATTTTGATAACATTGTCCATGCTGCCGCCTTCTTTTTGTAATTTCACGCTGCCATTTATCAGGTTCTCTGGTGCGTTTCCTAGAGTTGCTCTTTTCATATTCAGGAGTTTTGGCATATGAATGTACACATGGTTCCTCAAGGTTTGTATGTGCATAATTTTTAATTTGATTATTTTCTTTGGGTGAATTTTCATATTCAGAATCATCAGTACATGTACTTGGCACATATTCAGATCCAGAATCATTATTTTCGGAACCTTGACTTTCTGTTTCTGGTAATTCAATACTAGATAAAATATTATTATCCAGACTTATTTCAACTTCACTTCCTATTGAATCATTTAAACTTATATCAATAGGATTGAATGGTAGCCCATCAACTGGTGCATACAAATCATTGTCTAGTTCATCTTTAAGAGAGGAATTGTTGCATAAAATATTACCATTTTCATCGGCAATGAAAAAATCTGAAACACTATCTTCTTCATTATCATTTGTAACATAAACCTGTATAAGGCATTCATCTAAGTTAATATCTTCAAGTGGTAAAGTCGGTTCGATTGTTTTATCAGAAAAATTGCTCTCATTTTTTGCATTACTCGCTTCTCTTCTAATAAGTTCATTGATAGGAACATCATCGTCTGAATCTGAATTTTCAAAATGTATCTCCATTTTCTGTTTAACATGAACTACTGGTATATCTTTTTAAAATCAGCTTTTGTTCATATTCTTGTTCACAAACAACTGCGAGTATACTCTCAAGATGAAAAATATGGTTTGCGATCAGTTTAAGTAAAGATTCTCTGACATTGTTTTGATGACATTGAATAAAGCGGTCGAGGGCCTTCTCATACATTTCATTCACCTGCAACTTCTTTTGCTCTAGTTGTAAAAGACGTGACCTTGCATATCTTGCTTCTGGTAGGTCCATTTCTAAAAAAGAGAAATAAGTTAGATATCAATTTGAACAACTTTGAAAGAATGTTATCATTTTCTTTTATATCAAATAAAACTGGAAATAGATTAAAAGTTTTAATCTTTTAAAGTGACAGAATATTCTCAATACAAATGATACAAATGTCACGGCTTTAGGAAACCCAATATGTTACTTTACCCACAGGTTATCGGTGACTTTACCTCTAATGTGTTATCCAATATAATTTATCCGAGTACTATAACACTTTCAATGAAATCAATTTTAGACAAATATATACATCAAAATCTTCACTATAATACGAATATAATGTGACAAAATACCTGCTATATAAATTGTTTATCTGCAAAAGTAGATGCTGCACCAAAAGTCATCCATGTAACCTGTTTCTTCTTTTCAAAAATAATGCGCCTTGAAATTAACATGTAATAATCTAGAATCCAAATAATTTTATCTTAGCTACGTTATTTTCTAGAGTTTACCAAACATAAACATTATAATTATTGCTTTCCATGTTATTCTGGAACAAGAAATGAAAATGATAAATACTTTAAATGATTTAAAAATGCTTGTTATGATATTTTAAACGGTTAGCTTTGTAGAGATTTAACAAAATTTTCAATTATACAAAGACGTATCTACCACTTATCCCCTTTTAGCATAGAACACAATGCTGAATACCCTAATTGATTAAAAGGTGATATGTGGTAGATATCACCATTTTGCCTTTTAATATTTTTCTATTTTTACTTATCACCTTTTTTCAAAGCCTCATTGTGGTTTATGTGACGTATGTACAATGACGGGAACTAGATAGGCACATGCGCCCAAGTCTGTAGTATTCAAATATGTTATCATGCAAGAAGGCGTTAAGTAACACTTATCCCCTTATAGCACTATGCCATCGATATGGCTGCGTCCATAGCGTAAAAAAATCACATTGTCCGTGGAAAAATGTGGCGGTTTCTTGACGGTGTTAGCGAACCGAAAAAGAAAAGGCTATCGGCCGATGACAAAAAAAAGTACTTCAATGAATATGAGAAAAATAAACGTTCAAGATCGTTCCTACTGGACTGGAAAAAGGAAAGACCGTGGCTTGAAAATACCGAGAACGGAATGAAATGCAGCTATTGTAACGAATATGAAAGCAAACGACAATCTTTGTTCGTTCAAGGTTGTAAAAGTTATAAAATTGAAACAATCAAATTACATGAACAGTCCAAATCCCATCTTAAGTGTCAGGCTTGTTATCATGCAAAATGTGTGCCTGCAAGTATGTCGGAAGCTGGGAAAATAGTGCAAAAGCTAAATGATGAAAATTTCAAGAAAATGGCCATTTTATTTAGGACAGCGCACGCCCTTGCTATACATAACCGTCCGTTTACTGACTTTATGTGGATGTGTGAGCTTGACTCTGTAAAAAATGTTAATGTCGGTGAAACTTACAGAAATGCAGCAGCAGCTAAAACTTTCATAAACTATATTGCTAAAAATGAAATTACAAAAGTGTCATCACGCATAAGTACATCAAAATTTCTCTGTATTATTGGAGATGGGAGCACAGATGCCTCTGTTAAAGAGCAAGAAATGTGGTTTGTCAGATATTGTAGAGAAGGCATCATATCTACTGATTTTATAGGTGTTGATAGCTGTGACAAAGCATCTGCTGAGAATATTGTAAATGGCCTACAAAATGTTGTTCAAACTAATCTTTCTTATGACTGGAATAAATTTCTTCTGAAAACTGTTGCCATATCATGTGATGGTGCCAGTGTAATGGTTGGATGTAAAGGTGGAGTTGGAGCTATTTTAAGAAGACAACAGCCTGATATGATTACGATCCACTGTATGGCTCACCGCCTAGAATTATCCCTAAAAGATGCTGCCAAATCAGTGAAATTATATGAAAAAACTATTAGTGTCCTTGCAATGGGACTTTATTATTTTTATCATAATAGTAGCCTAAATAGAGCAATGTTGAAAAGGAGTGAATGTGCGCTGAAAACAGATGATGACAAGGGCTTATTGCTACCAAGCAGGGTTGGAGGTACAAGGTGGATTGGGCATACTGCATTGGCTTTACAAAATATCACAGTATCCTATAAATATATAATTAGCCATCTTGGACAGGTACAGTCACTTCAATAAATTAATTATTTCAACAACTAGAATTTTTTAAAAGTTATAGAACTACAAAGTTTGAATAACGGTTAAACCATATAAAATAGTTTAGCAAAAAAGTTAAAAGTTCTTCGAGATATAACGTACAAGATAAGATGAACAATAATAAAATTAATATTTTATCAGAAAACTATTTTTTGTTTTATTGTATATAAGTAACATATCAGAATATTTTTCTCATACTAACCAATAAAATTCAAGTTTTATTCTTCTATTTTGTAATTTTTAATTGTATTTTACTTGTTATTGGCATAACTATATGCATTTATTGTTTAACATATCTTTAATTATAGATCAATTCACTTTACAAGACCTAATCTAATGTAATGATCTTAATTTTTCTTATATCTTTCAGTTAACAGAACCATCTGAACGTGTGTCAACAGATTCACGGGCCAAAGCCTATGCTTTTTTGAAACTTCTTCAGACGAAGAGCATTGTATATTTCATCTATTTTTTGATAGATGTTCTAAGTGTCTTAAAAAGATTGTCACTAGGTGTCCAAAACAACCAGTGCTTGATCTCCCAACAACACTCGACTATAGAATCAATGTTGGAAGTTCTTAGAGGATACAAAACTAGGTAATTTATAAATTATAGGAAAATAGTTTTACAGTAATCTGTTTAATTTAATCATATGCCCCTCTTAAATCTCAATCAATTTACCAAATATTCTAAAATTGCTAAGTCGAAATCTAGCCATCATTATCTTATTAACTGTTATAAATCTGAAACATTGTATTGTTAAATGTGCTTTAAATTGCATATATAACTGTTTTATACCAGTGATGGACCCAGTCTAAGAAAGATTATTAACAGCAAATTAGAATTAAAAGGAGATGAAAGAGAATTTAATTCAGCAAGGAACAAGATCATAGATCAGATAGAAGCAGCACTTTTGCGAAGATTCTCTGAATTTTCATCATTAGGTGTGATTAAGGCTACAAGAATAGCAGATATTTTATCATGGCCCAAGTCTTGGGAAATGCTTCAAGGTTATACTGAGTTTAAATGAGCACTGATTGTTGTTTACTTTATTTATTATTATTTGTGTGATTGTTGATTATTATTGTTATTTTTATTTTACTTTTATTGTATTTAATTTTGCGCTGTTAGTGATCTTACTGATTCCCTTTTTATTTTCTTTAAGTTTGTGACTGTGAATTATTTATTTTCTTCAACTTTACATACATGTCAGTATTTAAGGAAGATTCAAATAAATAATAAAATTATATTATTTAATTACAAAAGACTAAAGCTTGGACAAGTGCAATTTTGTGTAAGTGTTACTATAATAGCAAATTTATATTATGATATATAGGAGTGTCATTATTTATAAATCAAATTGACAAAAAATGAAAATTCTTAGAAAGAGAAATGAAATAGTAAGATAGGGAAAATAAAGTACATTCACACTATATTTATATACTGATAGTGTGATAATTTGTGTTCAAATAATTGTTATTCTGCTTTCAGATTTTGGAACAGAAGACTTGCTAACTTTAATCAGTCATTTTCGTACTTTATTTGAAAAAGCTGGGTTGAACTGTGATGAGATTGAGATGGAGTGGATCATGTTGAAGAAGGCTATTTGTGAAAAGTAAGTTAAAGCTTTTATATTCAAACTGAATTTTCTTATCATTCATATCACTCTGTTGATAAAAAATATTAGTAATACAGCTAACTTCAGACAAATAAATGTTACAATTTAAGTTTAAATTACTTCATAAACTGCCTGTTTCAATGAACAATCTGAGGATAGTTATTCAGCTAAATTAATTCTAACTTAGCTCTTACATGTGATGTTGAAACTTGATAAAAAAGCAAATAAATAAAATGAGATTAATATAATACAAAAACTAAGATTTTCTTTTTTGGTATTTCTATTTTAGCACAGCCAAGTTTGAATCATGGACACAAGTAAATGAAATATATGGACACCAGTATCGGAATATATTAGAATGTAATGGATCTTATTTTTAACTATGAGCCCAAGTAGTGCTGAAGCTGAAAGGGGATTTTCATTGATGAAAGTTCTAAAAACAAAAATCCGATCAACATTGAGTCAGGGTAGTTTAAATGACCTATTAATTACCAAGTTACATGCTCCTAAAATTGGAGATTTTAATCCTAGTGAGGCTGTTTATCTATGGAACAGTGAGGGAAACCGCACTAAAAGAGTGAACTTTAAAGACATGTCAGCAAGTAAAAGAAAACCAACTGTGTTTACTCAAACACCAGATGTTGTTGTTCCACAAGAGACTGAGAGCATTGTAATGTCTAAGCCAATTCCTGTTTCAAAAGACTTGGAAACTGGTCCTGAATTAGACAAAAGCAGTACCTCTATTGTTTATGAGGAATCCCAACAATCCAGTGTTTCTGTAGAGGTTCAAACAGATCAAATTCCTTCTGTTGAAGCCAGCACACAAACATTTGACAATGAACTTGTGAGCAAACAGTATAGATTTTCTTCAATAACATCAGAGGAACACTCAAATAAGTACTATTCCTCATCTGATGAGGCCAGTGACTATTCTGATATTGACTCAGACTTGGAGGAGGATATTGTGTTTTCAAAATTGTTGGACTTTAATACTAGAGACTGATACAGATAGATATTTAACACATCATAAGTAAACAATACACAAATAAAGAACTCTGTTTCAGTGATATGATTTTATTTACAAAGTTTTTAATTAAATTAATAATTTTCATAGATTCAGAATATGACTTGTTATATTAACTCGATAAATTGTAGGTCCACTAAAATATTTACTGGGCCACCAAAATTTTCCAGTCAGTGGTCCAGGTGGCCACCAAGCTTAAATGGTTAGTTTTTATCCCTGCACTGTGGCTATGAATGAGATGGCAATTATGGTAAAACTATGGTCTGTCCATGATGAAAGAAGCAGATAAAGGATCATTTGGAGACTATACAGTAATATGTTATTTTATGATTCTCAGTAGAACACGCTAAATTGTAATTATTAAGTTAAAACTCAAACATAGCTTTAATAAAACTACAATGTACTGCACTAGGAAGTAAATAAGTAAATACAT